AGGAATGGAGTTGGGTGATTAAGGACACAGAGTTGATCTAGGAAGATTTCAGGGAGAGAAACTAATGAAATACCTATTGTATTAAAATATATTTTTAGTTAAAAATACATATGAATATATTAGTTACAGCAGAGGCTAGATAGATGGCTCAGCCTATACAGTGTTAGCTTTAGAAACACAAGGACCTTAATTTGAATCCACATAACCCCAGGCAAACTCATATTTAATGGTACTATGCTGTAATCCCAGAACAAGGGAGGCAGAAATTGACAAGAGAATTCCTGAAGCTCATCAGCAAGCCCAACTAGCCAAATTGGTTAGCTTCAGTTTCAGGGATGGAAAATGTCCCAAAAAACTGAGGTAAGCAATTAAGGATGGCATAGACATATACCTTTGGCCTCTGTGTGCACCCACATACAAACATACACACATACAAAAAACAGAAACAACACAAACACGAAATGCCCTTAAGGCACAAATTAGCTCAGATTAGAAAAGTTTCAGGAGATAGCAAAGAAGTAAATCATGATACTTCTTGATTTTCACAAAGAAACTCATTAAGACAAAATGAGAACACAACTTGATCAGTAAATATGTTCTATGTCAATATCAATTCCCTAGTTTGAATATTTACAATAAATACTTAGGACACTAGTTTTTTGGGGAACCGAACTTTGGAACAGTAGTTTGCAGTTCATTTCTAAGTTTAAAATAACTTAGAATTTTTAAATATGTATCTTCAATTGACAGATAAAGAAATTAAACCTAATTGTTTCAATGACCAACTCAAAATAACAAGAGACATTACAGCTTTAATTTATGGTCTGCTTACTCATTTTCCTCCTTGGTAAAGACCCCCAGTAAAATTTTGGAAGGCTTTTCTCTACTTCCTCAGGGGATAAGACAGTTACCACTTTTTACCTTGGTGTAAAGAATATATGTAAAATATTAAACAATTTATAGAGATATGTATGACCATGCAAGCATTGTTCATGAATCACTGATTCAAAACTTCTGTGTTCTTCTTCTCCAGAGATGAGGTGGAACATTAAATTTCACTGCACCCTTTTGCCAGCTGCTAACCTCTTTTACTTATGATTCAGATTGGACATTCTACTCAAAAAGATTTTAGTCTCAGTTCTTCAGTTAATCCCTGAAGTACAGTGTCTCTTCAGCATAGTGATGTCATATGTATTTGAAAAAGAAATGATAAAAGCAAGAATAGAAAAAAGAATGTCAGGATCAGGCTTAACAACTCGTGAAAAAAAGTTAATGGAACAAAATATTAAACTTGTTTGAGAAAACAGTATCTCAGGCATTCAAACTAAGACTTACAATATAATTCATAAAAATGGTTATGACAAAATATATCCCTAGAGGACACATTTCCATATGCTTAAATCAGAATGAAGTTTCTGCTTTGTTTTTATTTAATTCTGTAACAATGTTAGTGAGCTACAGAAACAGCAGTAAGATCAATGACTTTGTCAATAGGAGAACCAAACAGAACATGCCAAAATAATGATAGTGCACTTTACAAAGACATCTAATCTACATTTTCATTCATGCCATGTCTTCTATACTTAAAACCATAGTAGAAACACTATATATATATATATATATATATATATATATAGTGTTTGTGTGTGTGTGTGTGGTACAGAAAATATTATATTCAATTTCATTATTGCTGCTTCTGTTACTAAACACATGGCAAACATAATGTCAATAAACACAAACAGACATGAAAGTGAGCAAGATCATTAAGTCATTTTGATCAGCAGAGACTGAATAGGAAATGTCATCCAAAAGTATGTGGTTGTCTACATATACCTGAAATCTATACCTGAAAGTTCCCCTATACTCCCACTGTTAATTTTATAGTTCTTCAGTAGTCTTTGGGATTTATCATTTTCATGTATAAATTAATAAAACAGTGAAGATGGCAAAATGCACTTAAATAATTGTGGGATTCTGCATTTTACTATTACACTAAGATGTATTTAATTTCCAATATTGTGAAAAACATACTAAACACAAATTTTGAATTATTGATTTCATGTGGAGAAATTCATCTATTTTCTTATCTTGATCTTGGATTGTTGTGAGTTAAAAATAACTGCCTGGAAATATGTCTTTTAAATCATGAATTTATTTGCATCTCACAGAGCTAATCAATGTCTAAACTCTTTTGAAACCACCAGGAATTCCAGGCTTCTCTCAGCAAGCTAAGCAAATAAGAGTAAGGGTTTTCATCAACAAACTGGTTATAGAGATACTATGGAAACTGTTTCCTATTTGTTCCTGCAAAAATGGCAACAACAAAAATACCAGTGCTTTCTCTCACGTATTTAACTGACTATAGACTGCATGCATGTTTAGAAGATGGTTTTCTTTTTAATATATACTTTTACACCAGAGCTTATATAACATATATTTAACTATAAAGATGTTTTTCCAAAGTAATTAGTACTTTGGATTTGTTATTTTCCTTCTCTGTGTTTTGTATTTAAGAATGTGACTTATTTTCATGATGAAATTTTTCTTTCTTGTATCGGTAAGTGCTGTCATCAGGCTTGGAGATACTGAACATTCTGAGAAAGATAAGCTTGCATGTAATGAAGGAAACAAGCAGGGAATGCTCCCCCACACTTTCCATTTAAAGAAATGTGAGTCAGGAACACGGAATTTCTATGAATTTGATTTCTACTGGGTAATAGGTATAAATTCTCCCTAAATGAACGAGGAAGAAGGGGGAGTAGCATAAAAAGGCAAGAATGATGTTAGCAATGAGGGAAGCCGACTATAGAAGTTACAGGAAGCACATATTTCTGTGGAAGTAATAGCCTGGGGCACAGCCATCATCTGGCAGCCCATTACAGTTAGAAAAGATGAAAACCACTTAACACCTGGGACAGAGTCATGGTAGATTTGTAGACAGATATTTTTTTGGTCAGATGGTTCGGGCACTTTAAGTGAGAAATACCAAGGTGAGGGGAAAATTGGGCTGAAAAACTACACCCATGACATGTGTTGTGTGGGAAATGTAGCCTCTTGTTAATGGCAAACAGATCTACTGTGACACTCCCAGAAGAAGCAGAAAGGTCTCTTCACTCTATTGCCTCACATAATAAATTATAAAAAGAGATGCATAGCAGTATTTAACCCTATAAATACACTGTGACTCTAAACAAAACACAATCGTGGTAATATAGGGACTATTTTCTTTAATTCTACGTTCATTTAGGATCAATAATTTATTAGTTTCTATTGTAAACAAGCAAGGAAAGTGATTATTGTATTGATGCCCAATCTAAATTTTTGTAAGTGCATTTTTTATATTTAATTTATGTTCATGTGTATATATTTGTAGAGGTTTCCATGTAGAGGTTTCTATACTCATGTATAGAGCCATGGAAACCAGAAATCTGTGAACTGTCCAACTGTAATATATATTATAATCCTTTTATATTTACATATGCTTTTTACTGAAGAAAAATAAAAGTCCCTGATCCAAACTGAGTACTGACCCATGGGGTCTAGAACATATCTATCTTTTTGTTTCTCATAAAGAATCAATCTGTATCCTAAACATTACAAAGAAGTGATAAATATTAAAACATGAAATTGAACTATATATTCATTAACATTTTTTCAACATTTTAACCCATTATGTGAACAATATAACAATTATAAAATATCCAATATTTTTCTGCATTTCTCAAATAAAAAATTCCTGATTTCTCTTCAACTTTCTTAGTTAACCATGCTACATTTTATGAGAAATATACACTAAAATTAGTGAGATGGAAGGAAGATATACTGCTATGTAGTTTATTTACTTATCTTTCCTATTCAGAAATTTTGTGGCAGTACTGAGTTCCACACTGAGGAATATAAGATGTCTGAATACTTTAAAAAGCCTGGGGATAATGTGTAAGAAAAGTGAGCAGGAGGCTATGATCTCTTGAAATGAACTTTAGGTCATTGAGTTCTCAAAAAATATGTTCTTTCCAAGTATTTAGACAAAAGTAATATTTTCAATTTTAAAATCTCAATTTGGCTGCCAAATACCACCAATACATACACCATAAACTGCTCATCATTTGTTAATAACATATCAAATTCAATTCTATTCATGCTCATTTTTTAACATAAATGACATTTTCAAAAGCAAGAAAAAATAACAGTTCTATTAAAAGAAGACAACTAAGAAATTGAATTTGAAATGCTTATAATGGAAGCCATGAGGTCAAAGAATTTCATGTTGTAACCTGTAATGCTAAGTATGGGGAAAGATACATGAGTATGGGTGTGGATATAATTGACTAGCTACTAAAGAATCCACTGCAATGATTTGAGAGAGGAGCAGATGTTTTCTTCCTTGGCATAGACACTGGTAAGGTGAGAATATGTCTCTAAATAACTCTACAACTTCTAAATCAAGCTCTTATAAGTAACTGTGAGGAAACTTAGTGTATCACCAAAACAAAACAGACAAAGAAACACAGCAAACAAAAACCGCGAAAAATAGACTTGCTGGTAAGGAAAAGTAGGAGGAAGGAATTTCTTGAGAGTATTCGGTGTGGCTTTGAATATGGTCAAAATTCATTATATACATGTATGAAAATGCCATAATGAAACTCATTGTGTCCAATTATTGTAAACTGACAAAAATCTTTCAATATCAACTGGTAGAAGAAGAAGCATATTATTTCATATTTTCGTGGGTCATCTTGTTCTAATAGTCGTAAAAAGAGCTTAGAAACATTTTAGAAGTATTAAAAACCAATCTTCTCATATTTAAGACAAGAGCATCACTCCTTAAGCTATGACTTCACTATCCCACCTGACAAAGTAGTTAAAGACAGAAACATCATAAAACCTTTCAAAGAGTAACATTTTGTGTTTTCATCACCAAATAAAAAGTTGGCAACTCTTCATCCAGTCACAGACATTGACAGTAACCATTTAAATCTTTGAAATGCCAAATGCCCTACCTTGCCTACATAAAGGGGATCTGAACCCATGTATTCTTCCAGCACGAAGAACTGATTCCACACCCAGCTGCGCTTCGTTCGGGACCTCCCTGACTGGAAATAAGGCTTGGATCTGGACCTTGGCAACTCAGCTTGACTCATCCCAGAGAAGTACAGGAAGAGAGCTATAAGCTGTAGAAAATGACACAACTCTACTTTGCCCAGCTTCATCTTTTTTTTTCTTCCTTTTAGCAGCGTAAGAAAGGAACCTTGAAAAGAGAAAAGGCACAGTTCTAGTTGGCTTCGTAGCTTTTGCCTCCGGCAGACTGTCAGCTGGGAATCCAGAGATAATAATTTGTAGAGTGCTGAACTGAGTGGAAGACGTCAGCAGTGCTGAGTAGCTGTTGCCAAGGAATTGTGTAGTAGATACCTAGAACGAACACGAGAGTTCATGTCAGAAACCAGGACATGTAATCGTGGTAAGAATTCAGTTATTAACAATACTCAATTCCCCAAAATACTAATACATACACTGTGAAAAATACAATAATATTAGCCACTGCTATTTGTAGAAATATTTTTGTTCCACAGCACCATTTCCATGTTTCTTCTAGGGCATTGCATTTAATCATATGATTTTCTCTACATAAATGTAGAACATCATTTCAAAACCTTATTTTAAAGATAGTCTCTTTATAGATCTTACAATCAGTTGCATTTATTGGTATTAGGATGTGAAAATGAATATCTCAAAGCATGAATTTAAGCAAATGTTAATTATATATGCTCGGAGAAATAAGGCATGTGGTGATTCACAACTGACTGATTCTGAGTCACAGAAAATGAGCTGTTCTGACGTGTTCATGTTAGATTTTGATTATCAGCAAAGCCCAGGGCTTCCATTTCCTATCCTTCAAACTTATTGTCATGTGCACTGTGCAGCATGCTATGTATGCTAGTTTACTTAGTTATTTGCTAATCCATGAATCTTTATTAAATGCTTCATAATATGACTGCCGAATAGTGGCCTTCTTCTATAAGCAGAAACAGAATTGACTCATAATGCACAATAAATAGGCAAGAAAACAACTATATTTGTGAATCTTATTGATTTTTGGCTTGTAACCATGTGGTGCTCCAGGGACAGCATAGGAAAAAATCTTTACTCTTGCGTCTATTTACTGCAGGCACAGAATTCTGATTATGCAAGAGATATAAAAACAGTTACAAAACCAACTTTCTTATACGCCCCCAAAACACAGAGGGATAAGAATTTACTACAGGATTCTCACTTAAATCACTATGTTGTACTCTGCAAATTCATTTTACTTACTATAAATAAATCAATAGGATATATACATATATATGGTATATAGAAGGCTCTCCCTTCTCCTCCCTCTCTGTCTCTGTCTCTGTCTCTGTCTCTCTCTCTCTCTCTCTCTCTCTCTCTCTCTCTCTGTGTGTGTTTGTATTGCGTGTGTGGTGGATATTGAGAGTGTATAAAATATGAGTAACACAAATCCAAAAGCCCCTACATATTAAATCAGAAAAAATATTATTCTTAGAATGTTCTCCATTTTTCATAATTTTATCTCTCTACTCTGTAAAAAAAAAACAAAAAAACAACTACCAATCAGAAGAAAGTATTTTAGACAGTTAAAATTTTAAGAAAATATTATATAAAATAGAGGAAATATGAACATAGAATTATCTGAAATTCTTGAGGATACAATCCAGTTCAAAATTGGAAGAAAAAACAAATCCAACTGACGGATAGCTCTATGAAAAAAATCCTATACATAAACATATTTCTATAAAGTTTTGATATTCCTAGTGAATTTCAGAATTATACAACATTCAGAAAATATTTTATTCTGCTATTAGAAAGAGGTAGTTCTATTAAGCCATAGGAACCAGAGGCTGTAGTGAATTCAAGGTCCCCAAATCTGGTGACCAAACACAAGGTGAAATAGAGAGCAGGAGGAGAAAGAGAGATGGGTGACTTAAATTACAAAAACACAAAGAGATAGAAACACTAATCTTCATCAGAGTAGATTAAAACTACTCTTGATATATTATGTGTTTCAAACATAGTGGATTAGAAGGAATAATAAAAACGAGTACAATGGTGCAGTGAGCATGAGTAAGCAGAGGTAAACAAGTCTGCCTCTCCTGCACCTACCAACAGACTACATTTCTGGGCACAAGGAAAGATGCTGTGGTCAACAGGAAAATGACAAGTAGAATTCCAGTTTCTCTGCTTTCACTTTAGAGAAATTACTTTTTAAAATTAAAACCATATATCTCCTTAAGACAAAAATAAATAAATATAAGGTAACAAAATTATATTACCTAGATTATGGAATGCCTTAGAGGACTTTGTGACATTGTTTCAGCATGAAAATATATACAACTTTTAAAATAAATAAACATTTCCAGATAGTTATTTTTGGAATCCAGAACTTGGGATGTAAGTCCAAATACATGCTGGCAACGAATATGGATATTTCTGTCTGATAGACCCATATTAAACTTAAAGATGCATAATTAAGTTTAAGAGTCTAAACTACTTGACCTATGATAACAAAAATTAGAAGACACTAAGTAAGTTCCAAGATAAAGCCTGAAGGACCTATGATGGAAATAATGGCCGTAACAGCTGCAATAGCATCTTGGTAGGAATAATGCAAGACATTATAAAATGCTAAGAATAGTGCTTGGAATATTTAAAGTTATTAAAAATAGCTGTTAGAGTTATTATCATCTTAATCATTTTCTGTGTTTGAAACATTATCAGAAAATTGAAGGTGAACTGATCTTATTTTTCATTTCATTGTTATCAATAGTGAAACTATTTAGATACCTGTTACCTTAAAGGAAAACATTCTAACAACAGAGAATTGATGACAGGGAACTACACACTTATGAATCAAAGATAGACACATGGATGAGAGGCTACAAAATACTTGCTGGTGGAAAATTTTAACTATTTCCAAAAGACATTTTGGATAAACCAAACACTAGATTAAAACTACAGATGACTTAATTTAATCAAGGGCATTCACTGATGATAGTAGAGGCCATAAAACTAATGGGGTTAGATCATTGCGATTTTCTATACAACCTTAGATCCCTCTGTGGTTTCCTTTTCTATATGGACAAAATTAAAAGGCTGGAATAAATATCACTACAAAATCTTAGGGATTTTTTCCCATCTTACATTTAGGATTTTTATCAGTTGCTTAAGAGTAATATTACAAGCTTTACTGTAAAACTATAATGAAAAGCCTACTGCTAATACTTTAAGATGAAGAATTTGAGAAGTTTAAAAGGGAATGAGAATGTAAAAGAAGCACTTGGCCTTCTTTTGAAGCACAATGTGCTCTGTAGCAAGCATTGTTCAATTTACTTTTATTGCCTCTTGGAGATTATTTTTCATCTTTACAAAAATATTCTAGATTGAGCAAAGCAATTGGAACATAAATATGAGACTAATCACCTAACACATCATGACACTTGAGATAATAGAACTGAAGGGAAGATAATCGAGAATTTTGTGCTCTCTTGTTTAAATAAAGGGTTCAAAAAGTAGCTAAAATGAGTTCAGAGTTACATACACTTTATCATTGTAGCTGTGGAATATAGAACAGGAGAGACACTGAGATAAGTCTTTAGAAAATGTCTATTTTAATTCTAATCCATTTAATAATAATGTGGAAAATTAACCACATAACAAGTCAATATGTGAATGCTTTGGCGACTCTAGAATGCTAATGAATATCAATCATTTTGTAAATATTTATAACACATTTTGTTCTAGAATTTGAATTATTTGTCATGCTCTTAATCAGTCATTTTTATATTTTTTAAGCATAAATATTACACCAGGATAATTGAATGGGTTTTGTGTACAACATTGGATGACAGAATTCTGTTGTGTAAAGCAAATAAATATCTCTGTAATACCTTTTTGTATAATTACTTTTAAAATCAGAAATAGTACCTATATAATTGTGATTTGAACTTAGTGTGTTCATGTCATATTCACCAATAGTTTTTTTCATGATCAGCCTTCTGTAAATCTTTCCTTCCTTTGCAAACCAATGTGATGCTTAACATAAAATAACTATAGCATTTTTGCAATCTTATTGTACCCTGAGTTGCTTTATCATATAAGAAAAAAAAGAACTCTAACTTTTTTGTTTCAGTAAAGATAAACAAAAAATAACAACAAACCTGGAGTTATTTCTTCCTGTGAATATCAAAGAGAAATAGCTAAAATTTGAAATTTCTTCATGTATTGTGTAACTTCTCCAGACAGTTTCCTGTGTTCTCATAGTATTTGTAATGGTGTCATAGCACCATGTATGCATGTGAATGATTTTGAGCACTGGACAAATTACATTTGTTGATATTTCATACTAAGCTCAATATCATATCCTAAATCTGTGTTCCAAAACAAGAACGCTACATCTTGCCTTAGATACTTCACTATTTATCCTGCTACCTTGTCACCTACGTGAGTTTCATATGCTCTTGTTACTAAGGACCTGTGCCAGGAATAAGCAGAGTCTGCAGTGCCCATGCACTATGCTGGATATGCTGTCCTTGTTGAATAACTAATTTAGGTAGTCTACTCTCTAGGGTTTTGAAAAACTGTCTTCTTTTCTACAGTTGGTTCAGAAAAAAATAATCAAGTGTACCAATATAAAGTGGAGATAATTTCTACAGATTGTGATCATTTTGGGATAATAGATTTGAAGAATTATAACTCCAGGGGAAAAAGGAATTCCTTATATATGAGAAAAGTACAACATGGGTTTTCAGAGAAAACTATTTACAATGGGACAGTACTAGCTGGAAATCTAAAAGTAAACTATTGAAAAATTTTAAAATATCTTTGTTTGCTACTTATACTTTAAGGTAAGTATTTGTATTTTATTTATAATAATTTTTAATTTTAAAGAGGATGTTTGAAACAATCACTTCAAGTAATACTATGGTAAGCATAATATACTTATTAATCAATCAGAATAAATATCAAAGCATTGGAAAGGAAATGTTAAATGTATTGAAGCATAGCGAAAAGAGGAAAATTTTGAGCAGCAATCCATCTGACACTTACTTAACTGAGATCAGTTATTTGAACTAAAATAACTGCAACAGCAACCACTTTACATTAATTTCAACCAAGTTGCAAAGAATTATTTCAGAGTTGATTGTTTATTATATATTTATGCTTATTAGAGAATATTATTTATCAAGATGAGATCATGGTTATAATTTTTCTTGACTTTTGCATTTCTTGTAATTTCTGTGAAATCACTTTTAGAAATCTTAACAAGAATCTGTCATGCTCTTTATAAAACATTTTATTGATAGATAGGAACAATGATTGAAATTCCATCTCTAATCAAAATCAGAAAAATTG